GCGATCAAAATTAAATAGAAAATTGATAATTTTAAGAAAGGAATACCAGCAGCATCAAGTTGATGTTATGGCTCAGTTTATACCTAATCAAGCGTTTTCTGAAAGCCAATTTGTATTTAGCAGACTTTGTGCTGAGTTTGAGAAAACATCTGGTCTATTGTCACAAAACATCAAAAACTTGATTGAAGTCTATGTGGTATTGTATGCAACTAAAAATTTTGCACAAGTGTTTTCCAATACAATTAGTAAAACGGTGTGCCCCATTTTTGTATTTGTAGGAAAATGCTAATCAATACCTACACAAGCATGAAAATGATATGAAAGAGCAAATATCTCTTATCTTGGAAACATCAGAACAACTGTTTAGCCATGAAATGGGAGAGGACATTTTAAAGAGAATTGAGAGAGAATTAATACACTTGAATGAGCTTTTCAAATGCACTATTTCAATCAACACAAACACAACTGTGTTTCCTCAACTAAGTGGTTAAGTATCTTCAGTGTTTTCAACAACTCATCAAATGGAAATTGATTATAGATAGTGATTTTTAGTAAACCTGGTACTCAGAAAGGAATTGAAAATAACAGAAAGACATTTGACAGGTCAAAGACATTTGGGGAAAGGAAGTCAGCACACTTGTCCTCCTGAGCTACTGGTTTCTATAAAAAAACTTTTATCTGCAGCTGAAAACTTTTATAGTGAATGCAATCAGGTAATTACAAATTGGTTCAAGGAAAATGATTTTTAATTCAAAGTATGGAGCACCTTTGTAATATTTTCTACCCCCTTCACACTTGCTAACCAAAGAGTTTAAAGAGTCCTGAATACCCTAAGTCAAATTCATTGGCTGAAGTGCTTAAAGAGAAAATGGAGGTAAGAAAAAATTCACTGAAAGGCAAGACGAAAAAGATCTTATATCAATATGAGACTAGCAAACATTTAATTATAATTTTGTTCACTGCTAGGATGCTAAAATACTAGTTCACAATAGAACTTGTGAAATCAGACACTTGTACGACCAATACAAGAATATGGCTGAAGAACTGAGGATGAAGTGGAGATACACGTTAGAAAACATCCAACAACATTAAAACTAGTTGATAAGATGCCCACATAAATTGAGGGAATAGATTTAAGTCCAATGGTTAATTTTCTATGTTAAATATATGCTGTTTCAAAACAATAAACTAAGTTTTCTTTGCTCTCCACAATGTATCATGTACCTATGTGTATTGCACAAATAATGTTGAATTTTAAACTGTACTGAATTTTGTAAATAAACAATTAGCCAAAATAAATGGACTTTAATCACCTATAGACCTTTAGCGAAGTGACATGCGATGGCGGCTACCAGGAATGCGACCATTTGGATCCATTAATCCAGACTGAACATCCCTAAGCTGAGGAATTTTTGACACATCGCCCCTTGCAGCAACAGCAGGAGAGGCACGAAGTAGCCGCTGGGCAACTCTCTGAATGTCATCAGCAGAGATGTTTTCTGAAAATAAGCATGGTAATTTAGATTTCTTTTCTAACATTTCTCATATGATTCTTTAATGGAAATAAGAAAATCTGCACTTTTATTACTTACCTATAGCTTCAATAAAATATTTAGGACTTTTTCTTTGACCAGTTGCAAGAACTTGTCGAGCTAAATCTTCAAATACTACAGGCCTAGATTCAAGATTCATAAGAAGCATAGATTGGAGTTGAGTTTTTGCTCTCTGAAATACAAAATATTTTTACATTTCTGGTTCTTGTTGGAGAAAAGGAAATGAGACAAATCACAAATGATACTTACTCTCAGTTCTGAATTTCCAACGGAGCCTGCCATAGCAACCATTTCCCTCGTTATGACTTCTACCAGCTCTCGAACATGTGTGGGAGGTGCACTTGCATGAATACAAAATAGACCTGAGTCTAAGTAGGCATGGTTGTAAGCAGTAGCATTGTACATCCAATGGTACCTGTCAAACACAAAAGTAATCACCGGTTATCAAAGAACTTGTCAGGGAAAACCAAAATACTGATGAATGACTAAATCTTTTCAAGACTTCTTCCTCTACCTGTTGAGCACATTGGTATAAAGTCGGGTATACATTCCTTTTCCCGGCCCTCCAGCACTGAAAGAGCCGCCTCCCCCCATCATCATATTGAGAACACAGACAGCAATGAAGTCTGGATCCTGGTGAGAACAGCTCTCTAGTCCTAACACAACATGTGCCAATTCTGGCAGACCTGATGGACCAGCAAACTGGGGAATTTCACATTCTTCCTGGACTAAACCTCCAGTCCATTGAGCAACTGAATCATCCACATTCAGTAATGGTCCCGGGAGAATCAGTTCATCATTGCCCTCCCAAATTGGCTGCTGATCAACAAAGTATCTGGAAAAATATTATAATAATTAATTAGAGAGAATTCGTTTTCCTCCCAGTAGAGAGTACATAGTTGCTTTTTGCATACTTTTGTACACTTTCCACAAGACGGTCATGATCTACCCCAACTCCAGCCACAACCATTCTTGAGGGAGTATAATGATTCTTCAAATATGTAAAAAGAAGTTTCTGATCTATTTTTGGTACATTGGGTGCTGGACAAAGCTTTGGTAAACCTAAAGTATTATCTCTGTATGCTGCCTGTAAAGAAAATTAATTTAGTTGTTGAGTGATTAAAGTCATGAATGAATCAACACCAAACTCATAAGTTAAAAAATTACTCACTGCGTGTATCATATCCATAAGTAAAGTTTCTTGCTCAGGTCTCATCCCTAATGTTTCTAGTTCGAACTGAATTGCTTGGCGAGTAATATCAATCTAAATTGAGAATGACACAATAACAAATAGAGACAAGGGTATGAAATGTTCAATTATTTGAACCAGACTTAATTGAGAAGTATAGAAATTCAATCAAAAAAACTTACTTCTGCTGTAGAGATTTGAGGACGCAGAACTACCTCACCTAAAATTTTGGAAACTGCATCAAGTCCTCTACTGTCAGCAGATATAGCATAAACAAAAGTATCCCTAAAGAAAAAAGGATCCTGTTATTAGCAAAGTGGACATGTAGCCATTCATTTGAAGATGACACATTTGACATAAATCTTACCTTGATGACTGACAGTCACAAATACCTCCATGATTTTCTAGCTCAGTCATAATTTTCTCTCTATCTGAATATACTGAAGTAGACTGTAAATGCACAAAATTTAGATTAATTTAGGCACTACTGAGATGTAGCATGAAGCTGCTTGGATATCATCTCAAGGAAAAACACAACAAAAGAATAGGACAAATATCTTACATTAAATGCAAGTTTCTCCAAAAAATGAGACACACCACTGGGATAAGCAACTTCATATCTTGAACCTGAATCAATTACAACTGAAAAGATAAAATAAAACACTCATTCAATAATTCTAATTTTGACTATGTAATAATTTTCCAAATCTAATCTATCTTTTCTCACTGATAGTCTTACCCCCAACAGTACAAAATTGTCCAAAACGTGTTTCTGAAGCTATCCGAAGACCATTAGGCAACACTGTATATTTAGTTTCCGAGTTATCGTCCTTAACAGTTGCATAGTTTGGAGACGGAACACCTGGTAGTGGCTCTGAGAGTGGAGGTTGTTTACACCCAAGTTGAGACCGATCGATTGGTACTTTAGGTGGGTCTGCCTGCGATGCAAAGTGACGGCTGTTCCAAGAGAACCGCTTTCTAAAAAGGGAAACATTATTCATTGGAAAAATTAGTTGACAATGGAAAAACATAAAATGAATAAACCAAAGTAAACAGCATCAAAAAATTTAAGAGGAAACAGTAAGGAAATTCAATTAGGGGTACTAGTTGGATTTTCATTCATTCTTATATGACTGATGCAATTGACAACACATAAACTCAATAGAGAAGAAAATTAACGTACGCTTGTTTGGCTAGGAACCGTGTTCCAACTTTTTGGAAACCAACGACTCTGCTTGCCATGTTTGTTTTTAACAATGTCAGTTACTTTACACTTAAAACTAAATAACACATGAGTTTTCCAGCAGCAGAAGCTAAGGTTAGGAGACTGAAGACCGCTGCTGAAGAAACTTCAGACCCTGGTAACGATTGGTTGAATTTGCACCAACATGTCATACTGAATAGATGAGTTGTTTACAAATTTAAACCTATAAATACTCTTTTAACCGCACAAATTACGAGAAATAAACATAAAAATTAATACTTATTGTCTCAAAATGAACATTTTTAATGTTTTATTTCGAAATATTTACATTCCATCCTGTCGGTAGTATTTTTACATGTTGGTGCTAAAGTGACTTGTGGTAGAAAATCTAAAAGATGGCGGCTGCCAGTGTTTATTTATACCGTCTGTTCAGGAATTATTGGTTCAACAACTAGTCATCTCATGTATTTATATATTTGTAATTATAATTATAACTTTATTTAAAGAATTAACTACAAGCAAATTTGGTCTACTTGTGAATCAGTACGTGTTATGTAAGTTTTGTATGGAAGGTTCCTTTTGCGTTTATGAAACGTCGCTCTCTGTTGTCGGCTATCGGCATTTTTAACGGTTTACTTTACATATTTGTCTCTATTAGAAAATTCGAATAATGACTTATAGTTTTAAATCGGATTCATGTCCCCACCCGCCTCTCCTTATTTTATATTAGCACTATACTTGTAGACATAACCTCTAACATCATGTGTGTCATTAATTTTCTGTTATTATTTTCAGATTTGTCGCTATGTCGGACGAAGAGGTAGAAAGGTTTGAAATAACAGATTATGATTTAGATAATGAATTTAACATTAATAGACCACGAAGGAAGCAGTCGAAAAATCAGCAAATTTATGGTATGGGGTAAAACATACTGTAATGTACTCATATTATCTTCTCTTTTACTTCAGTACCTTTTTAAATGTCATTTAATTTTCAGGAATATGGGCTGATGACAGTGGTGATGAAGGTGAGCCTAGTAGTCAAAGAGGCGGATTTGGCTCCAGGCCAAGAGGTCGCAAAAAGTTTGATACTAGTGCTCCAATTAGTTTTGTTGCTGGTGGTGTTCAGCAAGCTGGTAAAAAGAAGTTAGAAGGCAAAAAAGGTGGAGAGAGCAAAAAGAAAGAAGACGATGACGATGATGATGACAATGAGGATGAGGAGCAGTCAGGGAGAAAGTTTGGAGGCAGTTCCAGGTCTGTACTAGTCCTACAAATTTTTAGCTCATAGCTTGTATAAAAATAGTTTTGTTACTGAGTCAACACATTTGTTCTCTTTACAGTGATAGTGATGATGGAGGAAGACAAGGATTTGGTGCAAAGTCAAACACCACAGATATTGATGGAGATATTGCAGGTCTCCGGAAAAAAAAATTTCAAACCAGCTCTACCTTGATTAACAAAGGAGTTGGCAACTGGGAAAAGCATACAAGGGGCATTGGAGCTAAACTTTTGTTGCAAGTATGTATTTTAGAGTGTTGTTTAAAAGTTTAATTCCACTTTAATTTTAATGAACATGAATCACAATTACCTCTTTGTATTTATAGATGGGCTATCAACCTGGAAAAGGTCTAGGGAAGGAGCTACAAGGAATATCAGCCCCAGTTGAGGCACATTTACGAAAAGGTCGAGGAGCTATTGGTAAGTTTCATTGTATTTTTGCTCTTTTTCATCCATTTAAGAATTCTTTTATGAAGTATGTACTTTATTTTGTTTGTCATTAGGTGCTTATGGACCTGAAAAAGTAACAAAAATGGCAGATCTTCGACCAGAGCTTAAAGAGAAAATTGAAGAAGAAACAGAAAAAGGTGAAGGAAAATTAACTCAATGGAGGAAAGAGGGTAGTAAAAGCTCAAAGGTGAAATATGTTTATAAAAGTGTTGATGAAGTTTTAGAAGATCAAGACAGAGGAAAAGTGTATAAAAGAGAGTTCAAGTAAGAACTTTTTTCCACTATGGATGTTATTTCTAGATTTTACTAACTACTGAAGTTTGTGTTTTAAAATGCACCCGTTTGCTATTGTTTTCAGTGAGCTGTCAAAGGTCAAAGTAATTGATATGACTGGCCCCCAACAACGTGTTTTGTCTGGTTATCATGCCATTTCAGGTCCTCAGAGACCTGTAGATGAATGGGAAACTCGCAAAGAAAAAAAATTCACAAATTTTGCTCTCCCTGAGCTCCAGCATAATCTGAATCTCCTAGTAGATATGTGTGAACAAGTAAGTCTCAGCCAGTAATAACAAGTTATAAACATGGACCAGGATTTTGGAATTGTTTGATGCCTCTATCCTATTGGTCAAAACTACAATGGTCTTCTTTATGATAATATATTATTCCTTTTGTTTTTTAAAGGATATTATCGCTAATGTTCGCAAACTTCGCATCGCAAAAGATAGAACTGTGTCATTAGAACAAGAAGAACAAGTTTTGAGTCAAAAAATGAATCAGGAGAAAAAACAAATTGAAGCTTTAGAAACACTTTTAAGCATTGTTACTCAGCTTGAAAACAAAGTGCTTGATCTTGATCAATGCTCTCAAGCTTTTAAAAAATTGCAAGTACGTATTTATTATTTATTATGTGCTATTGATCTAATTGATTTATGTTGAAAACAGACAATACTAAATTTTACCCTTACCTTCTCCACTTTTTAACCAGGAGCACCATTATGAAGCCTACCGTATGTATGACATTGGTGATCTCGCTCCTGACATATTAAAACCACTTTTCCATGAGGAGATGAAAGACTGGAATCCATTTGAGCATCGTACCAAATTCTTGTCATTATTTGGAAAATGGAGAAAGATTTTAGAAAAAGACAATTCTGCTATCTATAGTAATTCAATGATAACAATGAGAGACCCATATCACCGTCTTGTGTGGGAAACATGGATGCCTATTGTTCGTGGTTACATAAAGTAAGTTGAGTAAAGCTTTGCTCAAAGCATTTTTTCTTAAGTTTAGAGGGCAAATAAATTAACCAAATGCTTGTATTTCAGTACATGGAATTGTCGTGACTGTATTCCACTTATTTCTTTGCTCGAAGATTGGATGCCTCTATTACCTGGATGGGTCATGGAAAACATTTTAGAGCAGCAGGTCATGCCCCGCCTCACTCTTGCCGTTGAAGAGTGGAATCCTCTTACTGATACAATTCCCATTCATACTTGGACTCACCCATGGCTTCCGTTACTTGGTTAGTATTCCTAGCACAACATAATAATTTGCTTTGTTGTCAATTTTAGAAATAAAAGTTTAACATATTTTTAATTTTATTTTTAGGGCAAAGGTTACATGTTTCAGTATTCCCTATAATTAGACACAAGTTAAGTATAGCGCTTGTGAACTGGCATGCATCAGACACATCAGCCCATTTGATGCTGCAGCCCTGGAGCAAAGCTTTTGATAAAGGAGATATGGATGCTTTCCTTGTGAAGAATATTTTGCCAAAGTTACAAGAAGCAATGTGTGCATTGGTTATAAATCCTCAAATGCAGCACTTAGGTAGGAGAGACTGCCTTCTTATTCAGTTTCAAAATTATCTTGCTACATCATTAAGAATAGCCTCATTTTCTTCTCTCAAAGACCAGTGGCGTTGGGTAATGGATTGGGAAGACATGATGCCCGTTTTATCTATGGCATCTCTCCTAGACAAGATCTTCTTCCCAAAATGGTTGCAAGTTCTAACTATTTGGCTGAATGATAATCCTGATTACGAGCAGGTGTCTAAATGGTATTCTGGATGGAAATCCATGTTTTCGGAGGCTTTATTGCTACAGCCTGTGATTAAAGGTACTGATGAAAATAATTGTCTTTTTGTCTTGTCACCTGTGCTACTTCACAATAGACCGTAAATCTGTTGGACAGTGTTTTAATTTATTGTCTTGTGTCTCAGAACATTTCCGGAAGGCTTTGGACCTCATGAACCGAGCAGTTTCCAACCCAAGCCAGCCCATTTCTACTCAACAATCCACCCAAGAAACATACCAAGATCCTACTGCAGCAGCACACCAGCAAAGATACAAGGTAAGCTTAATCCTTGTAGTTTTATCAGATTTCTTAGAACTGTAAAATTTGAACACATGAAAACTTACAATAAAAAATTCCCCACAGGCAATGGCTGAAGCTGTAAGAGTTGCAGCTCAAATACCACAAGGTTTCAAAGACTTGCTTCAGAAACGCTGTGAAGAAAGGGGAATCATGTTCATGCCCCTAGTAAATCGTTGGAGGGAGGGCAAGCAGATTTATAGAATGGGCAACATACAAGTTTACATTGACAGAAGTGTTATCTTTGTGAGTGGACCAGGTGGTGTGTGGCAGCCCACCTCTCTTAATGCTGCTTTAGAAATGGCTGTGTAATGTACAATTTTTGTGAGAGCTGTTTCTTTTCTGTGGTATTTTATTGCTCATTGACTGCACTTAACTGGTACAAGGAAATGCTGTCAGAAAAAACAGTCATCAATCAATTAGCTAACTAAATATACTGAAAATAAGATTTCTTTGTAAATCAAGCATTTTAATGCAATTCAGTTTTAAATATTTTACCCTGTGATCATTCTGTTAACAGAAATCTTAAATGCATTGAAAATATCTGTTCAGAACTTGTACTTCTTGGCATAACATTAAATGTAAATAGTGATGTATACATTTTCATTTTCTTTCGTCTACAATTCATGAGCAGTGGATGTCTCCTCTCTCTTCCTTCTTCATGAATGTTTGACAGTAATTAATGTCAGGTGGTAAGAAAGGGTTTGCTTCTTTCATCAATTCTGCCCAGGTCAGTATGGTGAATGGTATTGCTTCTTGGGGTTCAACATGAGTGCGCGGAGAAAGGGCCACTGACACACAATGCTGTTGATCTAGAAGCCATTCCTGGAACCTCCAGGAAGTATTTTCAACTTTGTCAATTTCTACCACAGTATCTGTACAACATTTGTCAGCACTCAGAGATGCCGTTTTTAATTTAAAGGATATTTTCTGTAAATCAGTGCAAATTCCTATACCAATTGCTTTTACATAGCTCTCTTTCAGACACCAGTGCCTGAAAAACATGGCAAACTTGCTTTCTTCTGAGTCACCAGCTAAAATTGTTTTCCATTCTTCATGCGTAAATGAACTGTTCATTAGACGGAATAGCTTTGAAAGTTCATGTTTGGTATTTACATTCATTAGATCAACGCCGACAGTCACATCATTCTTGACTTCTCCAGCGAGAATTGTAAAATGTCCCTCATGTGAAATGCTGAAATCTATAGGAAATCGCTGGTTTACAACATATGGACGCCCACCCTCATTGCGTGCAATTTTAATCATGGCATAGGGTTCACCTGTTGCCAAATGCACCAACTTGCGTATCATGAGACATGCTGCCATTCGAGCCTTGGCATCTGCTTTAAATACAAACTTCTGGATTCGTTCCTTGTCTTCTATTTGAACACATCTTGAAGCTAGGAGCCAGTCTTTTTCTGATGGGTTCCATGTTCTTGTATTAAATGCCCAGCGAATACTGCCTTGGACTAACTCCATTCCATACCCTCAATTTCTTCAACAGGTTAAATCTATCAGCGGCCTACGATGAGTTCTTCATGTTAGATGGAACAGTGGAGTGAAGCTAAGCCGGACATGCAATTGAAATCTTGCTTTCTAAAAACAAACAAGTTTATACTGTATCAAATTAAAAACTATCTTACGATACAGACAGAAATTAAGAATCGCATCTTCAGTTTACCCTTGCTAGATTCATGGGTTTGACAGGTGTTGAAAACACAACACACCCAGCAGACGGTGTTTACACCACGGTTTACACAGTGCAGCAGGCAGAAATAGTGCCGGAAACGGTGCGAGTGACGTCACTCCAGCGCATGCGCACCGCGCACCGCGCCTCACGCGGGAAATTCGAATAATTTTTGTGAATAGATCAGAAAAGCGTAAAATGACGGAAATGTCCGGGAATTTAGACTTCGTCTAGGTAGATGGCACCCCCTTAAGAAAAGACGTCAAACCTACGTAAGTTGTAGATCGCGCAAGTCAAATGTCGCTACCTACTAAAGTCAAAGGATGCAAAATAGATGACACAAGAAACATGGAACACGATCGTCTAAGCCTTGCAGGTGGCGACGGGAAATGGCAGTAATTGAAACGTAATATGCTGTAATTGCTGATGGTAGTGCATCATTTTACCAGCGCTGCTTTTACTAATGCCGAAACTGTCAGTCGTCTTTTAAGTGGTTGCCAAAAGGGGGGGGGGGGGCTGCAAGCTGCATGCGTGCCGCCGGCCCGGCGACGATGCGACAGTCCGCGAAATAACATAGACGGTGAGGAGAGTGGAGGAGAGGGGGGAGCAGGTGATTTAGGCCCCAGCAACGCAGGCTGAAAGGGGAGGGGGGACAGCCGTAGCCGCGGGGTACCTCATGGTACCTCCGAGACGGGTACCAAATGGAGGAGGATGGGAGGGGGAAGGGCCATTCATGCTTCCCTGCTGCCGCCGCCGGGCCTCCAGGCTTCCAGGCGGCTCCAGGCCGGGGGACTGCTGGAGGAGCAGCACATTGGAAGGACCCGGGGGAAAGGGGGAGGTGGGGGGTGGGGGGCTGATATTGATGATGCGTTGACGTTGACACAGGAGGATGGAATGAATGCGAGCGACACCACCGTGCCGGCGGGCAGGAGGCGAAGGGTTTAGTCATGACGTACGAGGGGAGCATCAACAGGTGACAAAATAGATGCCCGGCGCGGACGGGGACGAGCACCAGGCGAGACGCGTCCTTCCCCGGGATCATCCTCCGCGCAGGAATTCATCAGGCGCAGAGCCGCGGCGTCCGTCGCGGCAAAGATGTGAGTGCTGCAGGCTGCAGGTGCCTTCATCCTCCTCATCCTCCTCATCCTCCTCCTCCTTCTCTGCGCCGCCGTCTGCGCCTCCAGAGCAAGGTGCGTATGGTTATACTTGCTTTGGGGAAGGGCGAGGCATATGTAACGAAGCGAACCCCTCCTGCTCGCGGGAGTTCGGGGCCAACCCTGGTGGGGTGAGGACGTGCCCTCTTGCCGCAGCCGCACGGAGCGGCCCGGCGGGGCCCGAGGGGTCGGCCCCCGCCGGGGCGCGCCGG